CGGTAAAGCGATTGAGACGGAATAAAAACAACCAAATTTCTCGCGGACCGGCAAAAAAGCTTCGCGGACCGGTACTGGTCCGCAGACCTGCGGTTGGGAACCACTGGTGTAGATTAATGTTATCGGTACAACGGTAATGATAGGGGTTTAACGGTATGGTTTAATGATTTAACGGTTTCAGTAGATAAGGCTGATATGGTTTAAAAACTTAGAATGCGATTCGGTCGATTCGAATCGATTCAATTAGATAAAAGCTGATATTGGACATGGTTTAATAATTCAGATTCGGAATTCTTTAAGATTCTTGTCGAAGCGAATTCGATTCGAATTTGTATAGTAAGACTAATGGGTTTGTGCTGATTCAAAGTTGCTAACTAGTCACACATATATTTGCCGACATGACATGCATTATATTATCCGTCCACAATTACGCTTAAATTGTAGAATATTTTACTGATTTTTGCAGTAATGAATATACGTTGAGTGAAGATTGTTATTTTAGTTCGGTTTATAAAGGAATCAAGTCGAATGGCGTTAAATATACCGCAAACGGTTTGTGTTATCGGTAAGCCCTTGACGTTTCTGTAGTCGTCGGTAACTTTTCTCAATGATGCTTTGCTTTTGAATGAGTATGTGTGGGCATGCGGACCTCCTGAAGTATACACACCAAGATGGCGCACAACCTGAACTCAGGTTGTGCACCTGGTTAGGGTTCAGGTTGTGCGACATCTTGGTGCGCATACTTCAGGAGCACCGGCCATGCGCGTGTATATCTTTCTCGTACTGCACTGGCTTGGCAGCTCTTGGTATTGCAGAAGCCCAGTATGTACCCCAGCTTTTCAATTTAGGGGTTGGTATATATTATGCTATAAATAAGTGATAAAACATCACACTTCAAAATCAGGGGGGGTCTTTAAATTTTTAGAGGATTTAGAGCAGGGGTGGGCAACATACGGCCCGCGGGCCGGACGAGATTTTTGACCGTCCCACTGACTGTACATCAATACATTATGATATTACATTATCACACTTTTAGTACATTATGATAAATTCATTATGTATTTTTTGGTCTCTATTTTTTTGTAGTTTAAACTTTACTTTAAACGCGATTTATAGTTTTCTTCCTTGCGTTAACGAATAAATATGTGTTTAAGATATTGAATACTATTCATGTTATAATTCGGCCCGCCTAGAACTTCATTTTCCCACATATGTCCCGCCGACTAGAGAAGATGCCCACCCCTGATTTAGAGGATGGGTTTAGGCCGGCCATGTAAGTGTGACGTAAAAGTTACCTTTTATGAACAAAATTTGGTACTCCCAAAGTATGTGAACCAAGATGGCGGACACCGGAACGTAGTATGTGTACCAGGTTAGGGTTAGGTCATAATTTTATTCCAATTTTCTTTATTTTAGTTCTATTACCAGTTCGGGGACTAGTCACGTGACTCCCGTAGTATTTGTACCTGAACTTATGACCTAACCCAAACCTGGTACACATACTACGTTCCGGTGTCCGCCATCTTGGTTCACATACTTCGGAAGTACCAAATATTGTTCATAAAAGTAACTTTTACGTCACACTTACATGGGCCGCCTAGACTAGGCGGGCAAAATTTTTGGTCCCTGGTCCAGACACCTTGCTCATCTCTGATCGAGTACGTTTGGAATAAGCTGTTTGCGCAGAGTACTTCATTCTTTATAGCCCCCAAAATAACATTGTTTTGATAAATTTCGATCGCTATTTACAATAGTCCCATCTACACTCCGAACAATCGCTATGTGGTTGAATATTAACTAACGACTAATTCACAAAAATGTAATTTTCTCGCAACACCCGGCCAAAGATGAGCGTTCTTTATTTAACGAGTATTATCTTTGGGCCATGCGTGAGCGCTGTTACTGAAATTTTAGTCATTGAATAAGGTTATTGTGTTTTTGTCGATACTGATAAGAACATTGCGGTGGTACGTTCACTAAATTCAATGGTCGAGGTTAATATATAGAGAGTGATTCATTATTTTATGTGTATTAGGGGTTGGTGATGGTTGGCATTGTACTGTAATATATAACCCCCTTTGGTATAATCACTAAGTATAACCCCATGTTTTTAGGGGTAAAAAATAGACCGTGGAGCGTTTGTACGAATCCCACGACACCATGACGATACGATGCAAAAATGTAAGACACCCCGCCATGTTTCGAAGTGAAAAGTCAGTAGTTATCCAGTTTGGGTTAGCATTATGGCGAGGAATGATTTGAAAATTTGAATTTCCAACGCAATCTGTAGTACTAAATAAATAAATAAACTGGATAATTGTTAATTTTCTTATTTTGATCGTTGGCGGCCGGGTTTTCTTGACGGAGGCTTTGCATAAAAAAATCCAATTTTTTAATTTTTTTTTCTGATTTTGAGGTTGTGATAAATTGGAAGGTGGAACAATTTTCCGATCTAACTTAGTCTAATCTAAGATAAACTGAAGCAAGAAAAGCGGAGCAGAAAGTTAGTGGCAAATATCTGACCGGTATAGTCACAAATCTGTTGGTACGAGAAACAGCTTTCGCGTAAACCGCCTTACCTGTGCGCTAAATTCGGCGCTCCGGAAGTATCACAACCTGAATAATCCTAACCTAGTACACATACTATGTTCAGGTTGTGCATCATCTTGGTACGAATACTTGGTACGAGGCACGAAAAATCATTTTAGATGGCGAATCATATCAGATCGAAATATAAAAATCAAAATAAGGTTTCTCAGTAGCTAAGCGGTTTAAATTTTTCAAGCATTTATTTGTATTTGATACTGATAAGAATATCGCGGTGTTGCGTTCACTAAATTCAATGGTCGAGGTTAATATAGAGAGGGTTATTCATTATTTTATGTGTATTAGGGGTGAGGTAGTGTTCGCATTGTACTATAATATATGACCATATTTGGTATTTCTGATCTGTTTTTGGTCACGTACATTTTGTGTTAGATGAGATTGTTGCCACCATTCTCTGCGTCAGATTTTCAAGTTGGGCCGAAATAGTAAAATGGAAAAGATTTTAAGGCTAAACAATTTGGTTTGAAATTTTAAATTTAACGAAGTAATAGCCAATACAATAAAGAACAATTTGTTGAAATGAACGTAACGTATCCAGGGAGGTCCAAGGTTGTCGGCTCCGCGGGCCACAAAATTATTTTTGCATTGTTCGCGGGCCACAATAGTGCCAAGAATAGGTAAACAGTGCAATACAAAACAAACACTTTTATTGTACAATCACATAGTTATCAGGCATAGCTGTTCTAGGCTAAAAGAATCCGCATTGGATTTTTAGTTTTCCATGATGCCTATATATATTGTTTGCATATATTCCCGACCAAAAAGTTAGAAAGCCAGATAACAATTTAGACTGCCAAGCACATCATTCAACTTTGCTAATTTCCACGACTAGCCATAAAACTATTTAATTCAGTGACATTAGTGATGGCAATATGTCAAAAGATTTTTTTGATTAATTTTATGACGAAACAATGCCTAATGCGATTTTTTGATTACTCTCCGAATGTGACGCGGGCTACAGATAATGAAGCGGCGGGCCACATGTGGCCCGCGGGCCTGGGTTTGGATCACCCTGGTATAGTCGATAGTTATTAAATAATTTATATTTAATGTTGGATTTATGGAACTTTTTTGTGTATCACTGTCAACGAATATTAGCAATACTACCAGCAAATGCATGAATACCTGATGTGAGAATATGTATGTAAGAATACCTCGCCCCTGGAACAATCAATTTCCACTCTGAGGGGGGGAGGGGTTGGGGGATCCTACCCTTTTTGGTTAACGCTGAGAAACGGCTTCCCAATGAGACCTATACTTACCTAACTCGATCGTTGTTTTCTTCAGCTAAAATGTTGTTTATGAAGTAACACTAGGCTAATTGTGACGTTATTATTTGACATGATTTCGTTTGTTCTTTATCAATTTATTTCTGGAATATTTAAAATGAAGAAAGCCCTACGACGAATGTAAGTCTGAAAAGTGATTATTTTGCTACTTTATTGCGTCTTCCCATAATAATCTTTTATGACAGGGGGTGTGCAACCTTTATACAGGTGGACAAAGTACACCTTTATTTAACGTAGGCTTTCTAGTAGTTGCATGCACAAAAATTTGGTTGCTGATCTTATGACATGCGTTGTTCGCTTTGTACAAGCTAGCAGTTAGGGCATTGTAACGTCATAGGCATAGATAATAAATTGGACTCGGGTATAGGCTTTGTAACGCAAAGGGATTGGAATTACTCGCAGGTACCAGATTAAACTAAATTAAAAATTTATTTTGATGGCCGCAAACCATTCAAAATTGGCACTTCGCGGGCCGCGCAAATTTTCTTTTTGAGGGTCAAAACATTTTTAAATGTAAAATAAAAGCATATTCTGTATTCTACATGGCAATTTGTAGTCTAAAACGCGTTTTTGACCTTCGAAGCTTCTAAAAACCAACGTTACAACTAGAATTCGGTTGGAAATCGAAGACTTATCGATCGGAGGTTAAGGGACCCCCAAAACAGTGGTCTTACTTCATAGTGACACCGTGTGTCCCATCACTAATTAATTAATAACTCGCTAATTATACGACATAATTCATCGAAAATCATTAAGCTTCAGTTCCGAACTATGATGAATGCACATGCAAAATTTGGAGCAGATTCAACCTCGCTTTCGTGAGATATCGCGTGTATCTAACAGACAAACAGACGGACAAATACCTATCAACATACTTACCGATTTTAAGATCGATAAGTAACTAGCTGTCATAGTCTAACTTGGCAATTCCAAAATTCAGAACCCCATTGAAAATTCAACACATTTGTACATAGCAATTTTCGTAGCTTGAAGTCCCCCCCCCCCCCCCCCCCCCCTTGAAAATTTCCGACTACTCTCCTGAATTAAAGCGTGTTTATAACATCGAGTAAAAACTGTTTTTTTATACACGCTCTTTTTTTGCAGGCTCGAATCATCTCGAAATCAGACGAACCAACAGCGAACTAATGAGGAACACATGGGCAATGGACAGGTAGGGGAAATATCTTATGTGTTGATGAAACGAGTGATTCTATCTCAGTGGTTCTCAGACTTTTCAAGCCGCGCCCGTTTTACAGAATTTGTCAAGTTTTGAATTTGTCAAAAATACTACCTCATAATAAGCTACAAATAACAGATAGTAAGGCGAAAGTATGTTTTATTCTAAAAACACTTAAAAATACGTAGATGGAACGTGAATTAGGAAATAAATGAAAAAGTTAAAAAAACAAATAAGTCGGGCAAGATCAAGACGTTTAGTCGAGTCATTCCGTTTAAATTTCTCGAATAGATTATCGAAAAGAAATATTCCAGTCACCTACTCGACTCCGTTTTAAATGCTGTTCAACGCAAAGGGTGTAAACTCGTGCACTATTGAAATGCAAGCTTATTTTCTTCTGTTTTGTCCTACTTATTTCGCGAAACTGAACTTCCATTTTATTTTAGAATCACGTGATACATCCAACCAACCGGAACGACCATGAATTAGCTGTCAGGACCAAAGTGATCTCAGTGAAGCGTGACATCCAACCCTCAAGTACGAATCACAGAACGAAGCCGGCGCCCATCATACCACAAGGTAATATTTGACCATTAACTAACTAGTTGATTCGGTACTCCCGAAGTATGTGAACCAAGATGGCGGACACCGAACGTAGTATGTGTACCGGGTTAGGGTTGGGTCCAAATTTTCTTATTTCAGTTCTATTACGAGTTCGGGGACTAGCCAAGTGACTCCCGTAGTATTTGTACCTGAAATTTTAGCCTAACCCCAACCTGGTACATATACTACGTTCCGGTGTCCGCCATCTTGGTTTAAATACTTCGGGAGAACCATAATTCTTATAACTACTCGCGCTTTATCAGTAGTAAAGAAGACTCATCTCTGATGAAATATACGGGCGACCATCAAAATACCATGAGCTCTTAATCTATAATACAGTGGTCCCCAACCACGGTGACGCGGCACATTATTGTGCCACGGAATGGTTATTGGTGTGCCACGAAAAGATTTTCATTCCAAGTGATTTCAATTTGCAATATGCATTTGAAAGTTAGTATATCGACTTACAGACGCGCATTTTAAGTTAAAACTTAGAAAGATGATGAGAGTAAACTAAGCTGCTGAGGTATTTAGTCATACTGTTAGCCAAGCACTGAAAACGGTTTTTCACCTCGTGTGTCGCAGTAAACCTTCTCTGCAACTGTTTATTTACATTTTCTGGATCAAATTAACAATGTCGCTGATACTTAGTTTGTTTTATAGCAAAATTGCTTTATGAGTAGACAATGTTCATGTTTTGTGATATGTGTGTCGCGAATATTTGAAGAGTTCAATAGTGTGCCGGCGCTGCGATATAAAAAAGGTTGTTAACCACTGCTATAATATATGAAATTGTGGTGATGGCACACGATCACCCACTCAGAACTAAAGAGAACTTATCTCTGAGCAAAATTACGAGATGAGAAACCGGTAGGACTGAGAAATTGAGGGAAAACACTTCAACCGTTTACCGAATAAAATTAACCGGTAAACCGCAGCGTCACGTTTGACGTAATAAGTTATAATTTAAGCTTCTGATGTCCCAATAGTTCGCGTGAACTTTTCCAGGTATCGAAATCATTAAAGGATCTAGATAGTTTTAGGGCCGTTCGACTACAAAAGATATATGCAGCGTACCTCGGACATATGGGCTCTCTATTTTTTTTTTAAACTCGCGACGCAATCTGTTTTATTAGTACAAATCACGTTGCAATGGGAAGAAATTTGCTTTTGTTACCGTACTTCAATCAAATATTACATTTTTTGATGCTTGCCAATTCAGTTAGTGGTGTTCTATTGATTTCAACGCCGCAGGAGATAAATTTACGATGACGTAATCATTTTTGAAAGAAATGTACATTATAAAGATGATTTGTACCTGAGATGTCGGTTAACGGTTAAAATTGATCTGTTCATTTCTCGTAACGTCCTGTCTTTTTCGTAAGTGCATCTGCAGACTGTTTTAGGGGTTAACTAGATGCCACTTTGCATTTTATTAGTTTCTCGGCTACAATGCCATTAAAAAAACAAAAGCGTTCCGACTTGAAATAAAAACCTAGCAAACTGAAATAACAATGGGGCAGTGTAAAAGTGCCTCAATTGGGTTGAAAGCTGATGGAACTCTTTAGAACCGTAAAATAATTTGCCGCATCAGCCTAAACGTATTTGGTAATCTGTATGCGTGTTTTCGTACTCTAATTTCAGAAAATCGAGTGCGATAAAAATCCCTGATAGAAGTGCTGCATAAGTAAAGCACAAAACTACACCAACACCAACTGAAGCTTATAAGATTTCAGAAGTTTCTTATAGTTACAAACATTGATTAAATATCTGTGACCCACTCTCTTCTGCTTCACGATAAAAATATCATTTGTGACCCATTCATTGAAAAATGTTCGCCATTCCTGTACTAGGCCATCGTGTCCACTATTCACTCAGTGTCGCAACATAACAAACTTTTTCTCATCTTTCAGTGAACGTTACACCAACCAGCTTACACGGAGTACCAAAGCCACAGTTGGCCCCAGAACAAAAAGCTGCAAAACAACGATTTGAGTTCAACAATAATAAGTACGTTCTATTTTGAAACATTTATTATTCGATGAAATCTCCTCTCCAGTTTGTAATCATTGAAATGTGCCTATTATTTATCTTATTTATTGTACTTTTCTCTTCCTCCCCGACGACAAGACAAAGAGAAATAAATAAAAAGGCGTCACACTTGTTGGTCTGACGTCATGGATGATGTAATCATGATCACTTATATACTCCCCTCCTCATCTGAAAAAATTTACCTCACTTGTTGTAATTATTTCTGTCTCCCCATCGTCAAAATAACAAGGAGGAAATAAAAAAATGTGTCATACTCGTTCTTCTGAGGTCATGGATGATATAATCAAGATCAATTATACACTCTTTTCTGTTACTCTTTTTATGGTACCGGAAAGTAAAATTCATACTTGTTAGTCTGACGTCATAGATGATGTAATCATATATTACTTCTTGCTTTTCTCTGTATATGTCAGGGGTGAGCAAATTACGGCCTGTGAGTTGGATCCGGCCCACTTGTGTCTGCTGAAATTACGGATATAGTTTCCGTTGAAGATATCGATGAAAATACCGTCACAATGACCCCAATTGTTACATTGTGCCTCATATTATTATATAAACGTTAGCCTAGCTGTTGGATTAGCTGATGTAAATAAACTGTTTTTATTGATAGTTTTTCTTATTGAGCCTCCGGCCCAGTAACCAAATCTATTGTCTGTAACTGGCCCACTCAAAAAAGTAATTTCCCACCCCTGGTATATGTAATCAGAAAGTAAAATTTGTTTCTTTTTTCTTCAAATTTAACCAATGAAACTGGGTAGCAAGTGTTTTATTAGGAGGTGTTTTTATACTTTAAAACCTGTGCGAAAGCAGGGCCTAGTGCAGTTTCGTACCTAACGTACTTCTAGTGAGCGTAGCAAAACAGTTATTGCATATGTCGATCCCAACCCCCACCTGACTGCGTCATCAAAAAATTACGTCACTACGACGTAATCAGCCCTTCAAACTATACGTACTGTCATCCAAGACGCTTTTTCGGGCGATCGTAGATATACTTTGGTTAGCTCCATGACGTGAATGTGACGTCGTAGTGACGTAATTTTTGGACGCTACGCCCATTAGAAGTACTTGAGGTACGAAACACGACACCCGACAAACAGCATATTTGTCAATAAAACTAACAGTTGGGGTGACCTGAAACTAACTACCTTTCTTTGCTCTATGCTTGTAAATAAACTTGTACAATTTTCTTCAGCCCTCCATCTCCCGGACCAAGATCTCCAATTGTGACGACTAACAATAACAACAATGCTCACTTCCCTTCTCAACCCGGAAGTAGCGATTCAATCGACGGGTCAAGCTCAATGCGATACTCCAACGGAAGTTTACCTTCAACACGTAAGACTTCTTGTTTAATTTACACTTCAACTTTGTGTCTGTGTCATTTCTGTCTATACGAGTTTTATGAAGCTGCCGCAGAAGCATAGACTAGCATAGTTAGTAATAACTCGCACTTGGCTCTTTTGTTAAAATATTTTCCTTTAAATTTTTCTCTTTATGAAATAAAATGCGCAAATGGCTTCTATTTTTTGCCAGAATTGACCGTGAATATACAAGAAAATAGCATAAATTTTTTTACTTATTATAAATAACGCTTTCTAGCAGTATAGAATACGAATGATGTGGGTGTTTTTTGAATGCGCAAACTACGCAGGTTTAGAATAAATGAAATAGAAAAGAATGAATAACGTCAAAAAAATCTCAGACTTACCGGTTTTCTAAGAATTTTTGGTGCTCATGTAGTACAAGGTGAACCAAGATGGCGGACACCGGAACGTAGTATGTGTACCAGATTAGAGTCAGGCCATAATTTCAGGTACAAATACTAGGGGAGTCACTTGGCTAGTCCCCGAACTCGTAACAGAACTAAAAGAAGGAAATTTAGAATAAAATTATGTCCTAACTCTAACCTGGTACACATACTACGTTTCGGTGTCAGCTACCTTGATTCACATACTACGGAATGGCCGAATTTTTTCAAAGCAAAGTCAAGCGCATTCACATAGAAATAAAGGAGGTACGGGCTACAACTACAACGCCAAGAGTTTCTGAAACTTGGTAAAAAGTGGTAAAGCACACTGGTAAAAAGTGTAAGATCCCTACTTTGAATTTTATTAATTAATTTTTCTCTACAGTCGGTATAGCAGTCGGATTAATTAATCGGAAAATATCTTTTTGGATAAACATTTCTTTGTCGAGTAGAGAGCACACTTGCAGTAAAATATAAAATCTAAAGTTCACGCAACTTCTTTTTCTTTTTGTTCACAGCTGGAACAGCAGGCAGCAGCAGTTTCCCGTATCCCACGTCTCCTCCTCCTTTGCCTTCGCCTAATTATTATAATATGACGTCGCCGACACCAGGAAGCCACATGTCCAGTTATGAACGGAATACATTTGAAGGTGAGTATAGTGATTAGAAATATTGAAAACATGCCTATCCCCCATGAAGACGGGTACTCGTAGTGTGTGTACCAGACCTGGGTTAGGCCATACTTTTATTCCTATTTTCCTTATTTTAGTTCTATTACGAGTTCGGGGACTGTCTGTGTTATCCAGTGAATATATCCCCTGCCCATAGGCTTCAGTCCCTCTACACAACTCTATATAAAATAGGTGAACAAAGTTAGTTATCTCCATATTGGTACACACACTTCGGGAACGCCGACGATCTTACGGCGTCTTAGTACAATAAGATCATCGGTTTAAGATGAAATTAGATGAAAATAATAATGATTCTGCCAACTAATATTTTTCATTCATTTCAGACGTTAACAGATTGAGTGCAGAATTGTCACAAACAACGGTATCAGCTGCTCCGAAGTTTATCAGAGATACCACTTCATACTGGTATAAACCGGATATAACCAGAGAACAGGTAACGTACAGGAATGGATTTTATTATTCGCGCATAATACAACTCAATGCGCGAGCGCGAGCATTCAAATCAAACGTGCAAATGTGCGCGCAAATATTGTAGTAACTGAAATAGTATACTAAAGAAAATATCAATAAAATAATAATAGTGTAATTGGATGACGCACGAGAGCGGAGTAGGCGTGAAATTCTGGTGAGGTCTGAGAAATTCCTAGTAAAGCAATGTGCTCAAAAATTGCTTGACATAGTAACATGACGACTAGCAACTGACGTAGCGGGGATAAATTAAACTTGATAAATTGAAAACTATTTAATGAAATTTCGAAGCAAAAAACTGTGAACTGAGTTAAAGGGGAATTCATTATTTTCATCAACCAGAAAACACATAACAAATAAATAATAATAAAATAAGATATGACTGGGTGTTAACGAAACGAACATTTACGAGAATCCGAGCCAGTTATCACCCAATACAAACACGTGAATAAGTAAATAAAAGTTTGGATCTCCCGAAGTATGTGCACCAAGATAACGCACAACCTGAGCATAGTATGTGTACACGGTCAGTGTTCAGGTTGTGCGCCATCTTGGTGCACATACTTCGGGAGTGCCAAAAGTTTTTGAAAAAATAGCGACGTCTTTGGCTAAAGCTGAATTTCTTCAATCCTCTTTGAAAACCATTCATGTTTCAGGCATTGGCAATTCTTCGAGACAAACCCGCAGGTTGCTTCGTTGTTCGCGATTCAAGATGTTTCCCTGGAGCATTCGGACTTGCATTGAAAGTTGATAGACTTCCCCCTGCAGTACAAGCAAAGGCCGGAGGTAGGTCACAGTTTTTATATTTATCCCAAGAGAAAGGAAAGCTGATAAGACAGTTTCATCGTATGGCGAACCCCGACCTCTCGTTCGGTTACTTTCCCCGAGCATCGATTTCCTTGTTTATTTCCGTAACAATTACAAATCAGCAATAAGTTGACAATGACGTAATAATTAGAATTTATACCGCCGCTAAGACACTTCTTCCGCTCAGACAGATATTCAATCGTGGTTGTAATCAATGCTATTTCAGCTCACTCGTAGCCGAAAATTTTCAGTCATCCCAAATAATTAGCGCCACGAGCTTGAAAAGGATCCTATTCGTGGAGTCTAGTTTGGGGGAAAACGCGTTAAATGTGACATACAAAAATTAAAATTTTGGCGCTTCAGAAGTGTGTGTACCAATACGGAGCTAACTAATTTTGTCCGCCTATTTTACAGCAGGTTGTGTAAAGGGACTGAAACCCATGGGAAGAGGGAATATTCACTTGTCTAACACAGACAGTCCCCTATTTTGTAATAGAATTAAAATAGGGAAAATCGGAATAAAATTATGGCCTAACCCTAACCCGGTACACATACTACGGGAGTACCAAAATTTTACACACACACAATCTTATATTAAATTTATCATTACAGCTGACGTCATAAACGAATACGTACGTCATTTTCTGGTTGAGATGAGTTCACGAGGGGTCAGACTCAAGGGTTGTCAGAATGAGCCGATATTTGGAAGTCTATCTGCATTGGTTTACCAACACTCAATCACCCCTCTAGCGTTACCTTGCAAGCTGATCATACCTACGGAAGGTACGTAGTTTTTTAATGTTGTTCGCTCCGAGCAAGGCACTATAAAAGATGCCACTGATATGTAACAATATGTGAGGAGCTACTGGAATCTTGCCGATTTGGAATCGCCTTCCTAGTATAATACACCCTGAGTGAGATGGTGATTATATAATATGTACTCGAGATTTTCGACCAAGCCGTGCAAGCTATTTCAACATTCCGACAAGAGGCGCGAAATTTGGGGATTTTATTATTGGGATTCGAAGTGTACCTTCTGATTTTGTTTCTTTTTTGAGGTCCTCAAACTATCCGTGCGTGGGAAATTTTTTTAATAAGTTTTATATCCACTGCATATGTCTAATAGGGCGGAAAGGAATTGAAATTATGCCAATTTCGCTGATAATTGAGTGCAGTTTCCGTAATTACAGAGGTTTTTGGGACTGTGGGTCTTATTTTTCTGAGTATGCCTCATTTTTCATGATTGCCATGATTTTTATTGTAAATAAAGAGTTATGAACTAGAGCAGGGACGTGCAGCCTGCGATCCGCGGGCCAAATACGGATCTCAAAGAAAAATTGTGTTAAAAACGAGTTTTCAATTCAGTTTAATCTGATACGCGTAAGTGATTCCACATCCTTCGCGTTGCCAAGGCATATCTGAGTCCAGTCCTGAGTTTTCAAGTTACAACTAATTGCTTGTCATTGCGAGGAATACGAAAATAAATACGTTTTCTTTTAATTAATAATTGAAATGTGTTTTAGATCAAGCAATTCCATCTTCTGATTCTCATACCAATCAGAACGAGGAAGCTGCAGCGGCAGAATTACTCAAGCAAGGAGCAGCATGCAATGTCGTATATATTGGATCGCTGGATACAGAGTCACTCACAGGACCAACGGTAGGATTGCTTTTGAATCTCCACTCTAGCAAACCCGTATTCTTAGTCGTTCTGTCTGTCTGTGTCTGTCTGTAGCTGTATAGTTGTGTCTGAACTGCTAGGCCGATCTGGATGCAATTTCTAACGTGGGTTATGCTGTCACCCTGGTTATGTGCCTTTAATAGGAAATCCGGGAGGGGGGGGGGGGGGCGTTTGGGCGATAGCGACGATTTTTTTTTACTCAGTCCAAATTTACATGCTTACAAGCTCGCTGACTTGAGTTGGACTACAGTTGATTGTATTTTTGCTTAACGTGTGTTTTTTTTTTTTTTCGTAGGCGATTGAAAATGCAATTACGAAGACGATGGAAGTTGCCAAGGCAACTAACAAAACATCGATTGTTCATTTCAAAGTTTCACCTCAGGGAATCACACTCACAGATAACGAAAGAAAGTAAGAATTATTTTTTCTCCTTGTTGTTATTAAAAATCGCTTTTCTCATTAACTATTCAACCGATTGCTTTGAGATTTTCAGTGGTTGAAGATTGTATTTTTCGCTAGAAGTCTCCAATTTTTATTTATTGCTTAATTTTCAAAAAATCCTATGAAAATACTGACGTTTCGTCCGACTCTTTGATTGGATAGAATAATCCTACGGGAACTGGTATTTTTCATTCAAAATTTCACCATGATTCATTCCTCACGGGAACACGGTGTTTAATCCGCCAATCTTGACGACTGTTTCCGATTTAACGCGACGCTACGCGAAACTCGGTGATAATTGATACCGTTATGTACGGTACGAAAAGTACTTTGTTTTGGACTTCTGTCAATATATTTGAGCATCGCTCTCTTGTTTTAAAATCAATTGATCGACCATTTCATGCGAAAAGCGTTTTTAACAACAGAAACAAAAGTCAGGGGTGTCATCATTTATTTTCAAAGGGAAGAAAAATTAAGGAGCATTTTTTTTTTACATTCCAAAGGAGGGGGATCCACCCCTCAAACGCCCTCCCTCCCTGGCTGCGACCCTGACAAAAATAGTTAATCCTTCGTGTCCAATGAATCTAACTATCATTTTTTTACAGAATATTCTTTCGACGTCACTACCCAACAGCTACAGTAACATTCTGTGGACTGGATCCATTAGGAACCGGAAACAAGAAACGACCCGCCCGGAGATGGGACGCAACGGGTGTACGAGGAACAGCTGACGCATGGTAAGGAGTTTTAACTATTTATTTACATCCAGGGCGTAATCGAGGGGGAAGGGTTGGGTGAGGGTGAAAGTTTAGACCCCCTTTCGAAAATCCTTAGCTGACAATACAGGGTCCCTTTACAATTTCAATTTTGTTATGAAGTCAGTTCTCAATGTATCTCAACCACGTTTGTTGTTTTTCAATCAGTAATTGTTAACATATTTTACTTCATTTAATACATCTGTGAAGACCAAAACAATATTTGGTATCCTTTTGCAATTTAAAAAAATGTTGATACTCTATGGACACCCTATATTTATAACAATACTCATAGGCTTCAGACAAGTAGCCAATGGTATCTAACGATATGCAGGACTGTTATTGGCGCTCCGGAAGTATGTGCACCAAGATGGCGCACGACCTGAACCCTAACCGGGTACACATACTATGTTCAGGTTGTGCGCCATCTTGGTGCATATACTTCGGAAGCACTATTTTTGGAACGAACGAAATATTTGTGGTTCGGCATTGTCGACCCAATTTTTTAAGCCCAAGCACTGCGGTATATTTAGTCTAAAAATATTTGAATACCAATTATGCTCTTGTCAAGTTACATGACCTTGTGTAAGTCAGTCAGTCAGTCAGTCAGTAGTTTATTTTATCACATACCAAAAGTACACAGTAGACAAAAATAAATACGAATCACATATAAGACAATACTTTCAGTGTGAAGGGAGGCGCGATAAACCAGAAGAGGTTATCGAGCAGCGTCACCCTGGAGGAGTGAGTCTAAAAATTAAATCATAGTGAGAAAAAAGTCAAACAGGATACTAGCAAAAATCGTGAATAATAAATAAAATAATAAAGTCGAAGATGGCCTTTTTACACATTTAAGTGACCGATATCACGGTGTCACTCTAGTTAATATGAGAAAGCGACTCCCGACACCACTGGTCGAGGTAGCCATGGTAACAGCAGCTTTGTAACTTGGCCTACATGAGAGGCATAGCCGGAAATTTTTAAAGGGTGGGATCTGAAATTTCGAATGGCCAAGTCGGACCGTAACAGCTATAACGGATCCAGCTGGAGGTCGGAAAACGTAAATTTTTAAGAATCTTGAGTGTCTGAAAAGCGTTTCAAGATACAAAAAATGGTCCTCCCGAAGTATGCAAACCAAGATGGCGGACATCGGAACGTAACATGGGTAACAGGTTAGGGTTAGGCGATAATTTTTTTCCAATTTTCCTTATTTTAGTCCTATTATCAGTTCGAATGCTAGCCCAGAACCTCCGGAAGTATTTATACCTAAAATTATGGCCTAACCCTAACCTAGTACACATATTACATTCCGATGTCCGCCATCTTGGTTCGCATACTTCGGGAGCCCCCAAAAAATTGCTATGTATGATACAGAAAGAACCTTTTTAACATTTCATAACGAGGTGGGGATTCCAGCCTTCACCTTCCTCCTGGCCACGCCCATGGCTTACATTACAAGACTTTTTATCCTCGCGAATAATTACAAAATCTTTCTTTTCAGGATCTTCGGATTCGTCGCCCGAAAACAAATGGGACCAAGTGACAACACCTGCCATATATTTGCAGAATTAGACTCGACGCAGCCTGCTCGGGCGATTGTAAATTTCGTTTCAAAAGTTCTGATTGGTTCACACCGACAAAGCAGTCCTTGATCTATGTATTATGATTTCACACAAAGACTGAGCATCACAGTTTTGTGACGTCATCATTGAGCATGACGCCATAAGATGTGGCGTAGACAGTCGTCTCAACTGCGACGTCATCAACGCCTCAAATACGACATCACAGTCAGTTCAAATATCACGTCAGAGTTGTACTTCGAAAGTTTGTGCGAGACTGATTCGCGCGAACATTCGTATCAATGACATCACAGACACTTGTGTATTACGTCACATTGTGCAAACACATATTTGTTTTCGTGACTTCATCCTATAGTGCCCCTGGAGGGCTAAGAAACGAAAGTATATTTGTAAATATCTCAAAAATCATCGTTTATATACATTTTGTATGGATAATTCGTCAGACATTGTACTCTCTCTCTCTCAAATATGGCCCCAAATGTAATTCGTGACGTTTTTAATATAAAATAAACTCGCTGTACTCAGAAACTCGAGTGGGACTACAAAACATGCGGTTACATACGTGACATACCTTTAAATTATATACCTCTGATTGATTGACTGCCAAGCCATCAAAATGCTCATGCCGTTTCCTTGTTAACGTTTCTAAAATCAAATCAAAAATTTTGACAAAATCTTTTTATAAAATTAGTAGAAAACATTATTAGAGTAGTGTTCCTTAGCAATATTTTTCTTATTATGAGAAACTTGTTAAAAAAATACTTATAGATAAAGCATTGGAGACATATATTGTAAGTCAGTACACACGATTCTGTCTTACCTATTTTTATGCGTGGGAATCATTTGCTAGCGCGAGATCCAGATTCTGCTATTAGTTACCAAAGTTCAATCTCATACTTGAACTAATAAAGATAATCTGTAATGTAAAATGATAGCGAGTTACTGATTTTTTTGCGCGAAATTGAATTACTGTTACTGATTTCTGATCTGCACTAAGAGTTAAGTAATTCAATTAGAATTATAGCTGTTATCCTTATATGTCTACGGTACAAATGAATATGGTGTATTTTGACTTTTTTATTTTATTTCTTATTTTTTTCTGTTTGTTTTATTTGTTATGCAGTATGGTACATTTTTAAAGATGAGCTGCAGATTTACTTAACTGGGCGACTCTTACGTATACCACCAAACACCTCTTGTTAATTACAAGGTTATAGCAGCAAGATAATTTTTCGGTACTCCCGTAGTATGTGTACCAGGTTAGGATTAGGGCCATAATTTTATTCCGATTCTCCTTATTTTTGTTCTATTACAATTACAAGTTCGGGGACTGTCTGTGATAGTCAAGTGAATATATACCCCTACCTTTACACTACTCGATGTAAAGTAGGCGAACAAAATTAGTTACCTCCATATTAGTACACATACTTCTGGAGCGTCATTTTTGTTGTGAAGAAAGTTATTATTTTAATAGCAGTTACTCTTGGTTTAATCAATGTCCAAAGCCCAACTGTTCTTTTTGTTATCATCAGTTTCATCACTTTTTGCTCGACTCTTAGGGTCGGAAATTTCAAATTGCCAAGTAGACCGTAACAGCTAGCGGAACCAGAAACGTATGTATGATGCAGAAAAATCCGTGCTCCAGAAGTATGCGCACCAAGATGTCGCACAACCTATATCCTAGCCGGTACACACATACTATGTTCAGGTTGTGCGCCATCTTGGTGCGCATACTTCTGGAGGTCCGAAATATCCTTTTGTTTACATTTCAAAAATGGTCCCGACCCCCAATACTACGCCCCTTGGTGACGCTCACTCTCTCAATTGAAGCAAATATAACTCGGCCACAGAAAGACAATGCTGGCCACCAAAATGCTATGACGCTGCCCCTGTGAATGGCAATTGTTACGGGATTTGAAAAAGTTAAATTCGATTCGACTAACAGCTTTGTATAATGATATACAAGTAACTGAAGTTTCGGTAAAATCCTCCTCCATAAGATTTTTTCGAGTAGAGGGAGCACTAGAAATGTACGAATGAGATTATCGTTTGAAATGCAGTGCATCGTTTCAAAGTACAAATCATAGCGTGGTTACGTTGGCGGGTTCTTGTGTTAAAAAGTGCTTTAATTATTAATTAAACGTAAAATTTCTATATTGCTGCAATTTTGTACAAAGTGTCCAAATATTCAATACATTTTTCAGTTCCACGTATTCTTTGTTTTTCTTTGGCGGGGAAGTGTAATATGACAGCAATAAATTAAAATTGGGGGAGGCGCGAAAAACGGGGAAAGCTTTAGTAAAATAAGTGCCATTGAAAAATTTGACCTCTAGTATGAAATATCTCCTACTTTCAAAAAAAAAAACTTGAAAATTTGGAACTCTAATTAAGAGGTTAGCAAGAACTTAACAAACGTTTTTTAGAAAATGGGCACGGCTCGAATACTCCTAGAGGTGTATGGAATCTAGGTATCTGGTAGGTTTTTGAAACTAGCTTAAAAATGAATAGCAAAGTTTGTAACACAAATACAGAGTCAAGAGGCTACGACATCCAATCTGAGACGACGTAGGTTTATTTTGATGCAGTATACGCAAGTTAATCGGTTTTATCCAAGGCAAAGTTATAGGTAAATGGGATACTAACCAGGCGCTGATTCCTCACAATTACTTTTTTTCTAATTTGAAAAAGTCGCAGCTGCACTCATTCAAATATGGCTTCAATACTCTTATGCAAGAATGTATGTATCAGTGATTTACAAAAGTGAATTCGTTCGCGGATACAAAACCGTCTGTTAGGTAAAGTTCAGGCTAAAACCAGTAAGGTTCGTGATTTGTTGCCTTTCACCTTTGGTAGGTGAACTCGCTTCATACGTTTCAAATTAATTTATATATTTTTTTTCACTGACTATATTTGCAAATGAATCGAAATAAAACTTATCTATATTTATAGATTTATATTAATATATTTATTCCGAGTCAAATCCGCAGAATTGGTGAAACCAATCGGAACAAATTTAAATGATTTGCTTCCAACACTGAAATTGAGGCTTTATCAGGCCAACCATTGATAGGCAAGACTTTGATATAGCATACTAATTTCAAGCAGGTGAACTAAACTTCATTTACAAATTGACTGGACGTTTGGCACCATCCTTCTTCGAGGGCGTGTGAGAGAAAAAAAGAAAGTCATATTAGTTTAAACTTACGTAAATCAGAAACAATTTTCAAAGATGATATACTGCAACATAGCGACTGGTATAACATGATTTGCGAAGGTATAGTTCTCGAGAGGGGAATAAATATAAAGATACTTATATTCTCTAGCTCCATCAAACGGTATTATTTATAAGGGGTTGCAATAGGTAGCATTTTAATGCATACAAGGCCATAGAAATTACCCCAGTCGGGTTAAAATATAAATTTTTAATGATTTCTGATAAAATTTAGGTCTACAACGGCTAGAGATTTCAATCTTGCGTATTGGCGCGGAACGCTATAAATATTTCATTACGTCACGGAGACCTAGGCGACGAGACGCTGTTTTGTCTCAGTTGAGAATGGCTACTGTCGGCTTTACCTTGTTTAAAATTTCGCTAGCGTAAGATTTTATTATTTATCCCGGGGAGAAATAAGACAGTATTATGTATGTAGGCTATGCATTTATGTTATTTGCCTCAAAAATGTAACAGTATCTGCATAATAATTAAACATGACAGTCTGACAGTATAACAGCTTAATGGCTTAATTAAATTGTGAACCATGTCGAAGTGGCCTTCAATGCCTTCGGTCTATTTTTACTCCAGGATTTCAGAACAAAGTGAGCGAATGTTTGGGAAAATTCTGAATAAATGCTTCCTAACATGGTTTTCTGACGAAAGTTTGAAGCGGTCTTCACCAAACAGCCATAGTATTTCAATAAAAAATTGGGGGCGAGTTTTAAAATCAGTGACTTCAGATAGCCTAGATGAATAGCTAACCATTAAGTAATTTTTTTATTTATTTATGAAAAAAATTGTCTAGTATAGTATCACATGCACTCCTAGTTGGCTTGGCTCAACAATTTTTGCATATGTCATTCCTCCCACCTGACTACGTCACCAAAAAAGTCATGCCAATACGACGTCACAGCGGTGTAATAAGGCCCTCCAAAGTATACGGGGATGGTGGTCCGAAGTCAAGCAAGCTATTTCTCTTGTTGCGGTTTCGGGCGATCGTAGCTTTACTTTGGTAAGCTCTATGACGTGATTGTAACGTCGTAGTGACGTAATTTCCGGATGACATAGTCCGATGGGGGTTAGGAATAACATATGCAAAATTCAATATGCCACGCCCACTGAAAGTACTTGTGAAACTAAACCATACTGGACTCATTGGAATAATTACCGTAAAATGAAAATTATCAATTACAGTAGTAGCAAAAAACAGCATTATCATTCATTTCTAATACAATCAAATTTAGCTAATTTATCAATAAGACTAGCAATTTTCAAAATATTTGAACCTGAAAATATTTCTCTGGCCCAGTAGTGATCCCTGGCCCACTGGTATAGAAACGACGGGCCCTAGTGGTCACCTGCAATAACAAAGAGTTCAGCAATCACCTTGCACAAACTCACTTCTTTAGATATAGACCTGCGAATCCATACAAATACTCCCGAAGTATGTGAACCAAGATGGCGGACACCCGTACATAGTGTGTATACCAGGTTAGGACATAATTTTATTCCAATTTTCCTTATTTCAGTTCTATTACGAGTTCGGTGACTAGCCAAGTGACTTTCATAGTATTTGTACTTGAAATTATGGCCTAACCTTAACCTGGTGAACATACTATGTTCCGGTGTCCGCCATCTTGGTTCACATACTTTGGTGGGAGTACCCAAATTATAATTTTATATTTCTTTCAAATCCATCCAGATATATATATTGCCTTTTTTAACTCATATATACACAAGTATGTGCTTATAGTCTTATATCGAGCCTTGTTCAGAGTAGACCAATCCAGAAAAAACGTAAAAAAGTAGAAAAATGTCAACGAAAGTCACACAAATCAAAAGTGGGAGTCATGTGAAACGAGAAAGTTACTTTATTCGCTTTCGCAAGCGTTGGAAACGACGAGGCGTTATCGAGATTGGCGAATCCCACAACAAACACCCATTTACGCTGTATGTTCGACAAGGCCTGCAAGATAGCATTGCTGCAACTAAGGAGTTCAAGGTAAGTTGAGTCAAATTTACTTTTTACAACTTGTCTTGTCAATCATGTACAACAGGGCTACTCAACTATCTTCACCAAAGGTTTGATTAGAAAACTTCAAAATTACTGGGGTTCGGACATTACAGAAAATTTATTTCAATATAAACGAAACGTCAAATGATGGCTCGCAAATATAGACACAAATGTCACATATTGGTACCAGTACAACAAACTGTATAGATGTGTATTTGAATTATATCAAAATCATCTAAAATTACCAAACGATGCTTATGATGCCAAAATAAACAAGCAGACGCGGTCCAAATTAAATGGTCGAAAGGTCCGAATTCGGACCCCGGTCCGCCAGTTGAGTAGACCTGATGTACAATATTCTAGAACACTAGTTCTCAAACTTTTGAGGGGGCGTGGAGCTAATTAAAAATAAAAAAATTGTTAGATTTGACCTTGTCCGCCTTATTTTGGATATTTATTTCATTATTTACTTTCCATCTACGTATTTCCAATATGTTTTTTGAATAAAACATACTTTTGCTTTACTATCTGTTATTTGTATCTTATTGTTGGCTAGTTATTTTTGAGGTGGGACACGAGACTTGACAAATTCTAAAAGTGGAGCGCTACCGGTACTTAAAATGTTTAATAAGAACCACTGTTCTAGAAGAAGGAAATATAATCACACAGTTTAACTGGGTAAAAGCAACCACGGGAAAGCAAAGCTGGTAATCAAACAGCAACTAAGTCTGGGCATTCTAAATCAAATATAAAATTATTCGAATTGCTCCAGACGAAAATCGCCGCGATCATGTTTTTTTATTCTGCCAAGCAACGAGGTGTAGGCCTATTCCTCAATTTTTTTACTGAAGCCATATTTTTGAAATACAATTCTGAAATGTGGCTCTTTTCTTTCTATTAGGTTGTTTTGACAACTCAGCCCACTGCCTGAGTGATGGATTCTATGTTTTTATTAATTTATGTGTCTGGAAGAGCCATCGCAATAAAAAAGTCACATACACAATTACATTAAATAAATCCCAGGTATTCAAGATTTGATTTGAAACAAATACTCGATTCAATTCTGAAACAATCAGGTTTTTCGGAAAGACCCAGTTCTAGCAGCGACATTCGAGGTTTTAAAATCGAACTGACAAGATCAAAATTTTAAACATTCTGCTATTTTTGATTTTTAGATATGTTTTCAATAATTAAGGGCTTTAGAGTATAATCAGTACTGGTTTTCACGCTTTTCTCCTTCATGTTAACCTTCTGTATTTACCAAGTGTTGTTTTTGCTTATGGTAGAAAAACGAGAATATCAGTCGGAGACCGAAGACTTATTGATCGGAGGTTAGGGGATTCCCCAAAACAGCGCTCTTACTCCATAGTAACACCGTGTGTCCCATCACTAATTAATTTATAACTCGCTAATTATACGACATAATTCATCGAAAATCAATAGGCTTCTGTTCCGAACTATGATGAATGCACATGCAAAATTTGGAGAAGATTCAATCTTGCTTTCGTGAGATATCGCGTGTATCTAACAGACAAACAAACAAACAGACAAATACCAATCAACATACTTACCGATCTTAAAATCGATAAGTAATAAACTATTGAATACTAAGTAGGGTTTATTTCAGTACTATTTGCTAAAATAGGAATTGATTATACATGAATTTTTAAAATAATTGCTTTTCTAATATAATACAAATGATTATGTAAATTACAGTCAATTTTTATAGATTTTTCGGTAATAATGAGTTTGAATAGGATTTGCATATTCATCCTGGAGAGAGGAAAGCTTATAAGACGGTTTAGTCCTGTGGCGTACAACGGTCTCTCGTTCGGTTACCAGTCCAAGTCTGGTATGGGATTTCTTAACCAGTTATTTGTTTTTAGACGCATGGAATTGACCTGAAGGCTTTGGTGCCTGTCTCTACAGTAGTACCATTTCAACACCTTTTTTTGAACATTTTACTCAGGCTATTAATTGGGTCTCTGTGGGGCCAATACTTCACCTTTTTCTAAGGTGGGAGGGGGGGTTCTACACCATAATCATAACAGCGGGTCTGGTCTAAGGCCAGAATGCGTTGGTATTAAGGGTCTTGAGTGTCACAAAAATGTTTCAAACTACGAAAAAATGCAATGTATGATACAGAAAAACCCCTTTTTTCACATTTTGTAAAGGGAGATGGGGGGTGGCTCTACCCCCCCCCTTTCCTCCCCTGGATACGCTCCTGACTGAAATGAAAGAAGATAAGCTGTATCGTGGCGATGGCACATAGCTTGTTATTTTGTCCGAATCAGGTGTGGGAGTCCTTGACCTGTTTCATTTGCAATTTTGTAGATATTGGTCAACTTGTAAATAAATTTTCTCTAAACAATCAAAATCAAATTTAAAATTTATAATTCAATTTTTCGAATATTTTCAGGGCCAGGGAACTGACAAACAATATTCTCAAGAAATTCATAGAAAATTGGTTTCAAGCCATGATAGAACTGTAAGTTGTTTTTTGTTTTCAAAGAAATTGGTTTTAAGCGAGATCTAATGCACTCACTCAGCAGTGGAGAAGATTGCTCGACCACTGAGATGCCAAGAGCGGATCAAATAATATAGAATCATTTTGGTGTAATACGTGCCAGAAAAAGTTTACAACAATTTAAAATTTAATGGAAGGCAAAAAACTACACAACGAAAAATTTCTAGCTCTTATCCTTATAAAATCAAGCAAAATTTTTTGGACACCTTTTTGTCGGTGGGCTATATAACCAAAAGATATCAGGCTGGACCATACAAAAAAATAGTTTTCCCATGTACACAAGTTTTAACACATCGAAATAAAAAATTATCTACAGCCGCTGCGCCACAGGGAAGGCAAGAGAAGAAAATGTGGCTTTTGCTTAGTTTTACAGTAATAGATGTACTGGGCAAAACAGCGAAAGATTTAATATAGCTACAAAAAAAAAATCATTATGTATTTTTAAACTCTTTTTAAACTTAAAATGTCATGTTAAGAGTTTGTGCTTGAAGGGGAAAAATCTGAGTAATTACATGGGCCATACTGAATGGCTTGGAGTGCCATCTTGTGGCCCACGGCCCCGTTGCACCTGTGGCCCTTGTTGCACACCCCCTGATAGAAAATATTCGTAGCTCCAGAAGTATGTGCACCAAGATGGCGCACTTCCTGAACATAGTATGTGTACCAAGGTTATGGTTCAGGTTGTGCGCCATATTGGTGCACATACTTCGGATGTGCCGAATATTCCTAATTGATGGATATCATAATTCTTTTTACTACATCTCAATAATTAATTTTGAAAATCACAATTTTTTTTTCATTCAGGAGTTTGAATTTGTGACCTATGCACCAGAAGTATTCGAGTCACTCAGAGAACAAGTTGATATGTTTCCAGACACTTATTACGATCGTATATGTCCGGATGATAATGATATAAAATATCTGGAATTTGTGTCAAATTCAAAAAGTGGACAAAACTTTTTCCTTTCGTAAGTTTTTATATTAAATTATTATTTACTGGTGTACGATGTTTACAATGATTTTAAATAGTTTCATTAGCTTTTTGCAGTTCATTAACCATCAGTCATCTTGCTCAGAGATCGTTTTCTTTTACTCTTGAGTGTTCGCCAGAAAACTTTGCCCAAAGATTAGTCTTCTCTACTTCTTGGTGATTATGGGCGATATCGCTTTGAGTTTTTGAATTTTTTCTTGAATAAAATTTAACTTAATTTTGATCACCCCAACCTTTTGGTCATTCGTAAGGACCAACACAAGCTGAAAAAACTGCAGGTTAGGCCATAATTTTATTCCAATTTTCCTTATTTTAGTTCTTTTACGAGTTCGGGGACAGTCTGTGTTAGTCAAGTGAATATACCCCCTCTCAATGCTTCAATAAATGCTCTTTGATTTTATTAATTTTACAATATTAAGTAAACACTATTTTTATTTCAGCAACAACAAACAGCTTATGATCAAGACACATACAAGAAATGAAAAGAATTTTTTTCTAAAAATATTACCAAGGTTCGTATTTTCTTGAACTGTTTAATAATATTGTCAAGTTCATCGCATAGAGCAGCGATTCCCAATCGGGGCCACAGAGCATGTGAAGGGGGCCAAATGTCAGGCTCAAAACTGATTTTACTTTTGTCAAGAAAACTCACCGTTCTTCCTAGTTACTTATCGATTTTAATCGGTAAGTATGTTGATAGGTATTTGTCTGTCTGTCTGTTAGATGCACGCGATATCTCACAAACGCGTGGTTGATTCTGCTCCAAATTTTGCATGTGCATTCATCATATCTCGGACCAGAAGCCTATTGATTTTGCGCGAATTATGTCGTATAATTAGCGAGTTATTGATTAATTAGTGATGGGACAAAAGGTGTCACTATGGAGTAACAATGCTGTTTTGGGGGATCCCCTAACTTTTGATGGTTAAGTCCTCGGTCTCTAACCGATATTCTCGTTTCATTGCTTGATAAGGTTATTTTACAGAGTGTTTTTCCTTTGTTGAGCATGAATTCTTCGAACATAATGGGATTCGGAATCCACTTATCAAGGTAACACGATAGTTCCACAGGAATGATAACAGGGGGGCCATGAGTGCTAAAAGCCTTTGGAAGGTGTCCACGAGTCATAAAAAGTTGGCAACCACTGGCATAGGGTGTTATGCACAATATTAATTCTGTATTATCACAGTTGTTCTTGGTATTTCAGTGGTGATGTTCAAAAATCAAATATTATTTTGACTTTTTCTAAAGTAGTATTTTCAATTTGTTTTAAAGATATGTTCACTTTGTGTCCAAAAATAGTTGCGGCTTGTGCAAGGCCTAGTTCAGATCGAAATCAACGGCCCGCTTAACGATTCAATATGGCCGGCCAAACAATCAGTGCTTCTCAACCTTTTTCAGCTCGCGGACCGGTAAAATTTCAAAACAAATTTTGCGGACCGGTGGACCTTCAAAATTAACCAAAATTATCATGAGCAAAAAACATAATCAAAAGAATGCAATTACGACAAATGTTAGCGGTGCAAAAGAAGACAATCAAATTTAATGAGAAATTTGCTGCTGTTTTTTGATATTATACGAGTTAAACGCGGTTCTAATGGAAGGCGGACCGGCGGTTGAGAACCACTGTTCTAGATACCAATTGTTACGTCACTATCACAGTTTAAGGAGGTGTATATTCCCAACAATTCAGTTATAATGGTATCTTAATTATATGTACCGGTTATTAGGATTACATACAGGTTGTGCCCTTGCAGCTCTTTTTACTCCCGGCCCGCGAATATCCTTCCGCTTCTAATTTTAATCAACCTTGGGAACCATTGACCTAATCTGTGTTCCTATCTTTATTTTGTTGTTATGAATAATAAATCATATTGATGAAGTTTAAATATAACTACTTTTCTATTTTGGAAGTTGGTTTAAATTTCAACAATGAAATCAATCGGCCAAGTATAATTTGTAGATAAGTGTATGATTTTGTACGGGCCTTGCTTGATTGTGTGTGGTTCTACGGGGATATGTTTGTTTTAATAATTTAAAAGTGTCAAAATCAATACCCTGTAAGGGTTATCCTGCAATGTTTGATTCTTAAAATTAAAATAAATTGTTAAGTAAAGTCGAATGGGTACTCCCGTAGTATGTGTACCAGGTTAGGGTTAGGCCATAATTTTATTCCGATTTTCCTTATTTTAGTTCTGTTACGAGTTCGAGGAATGTCTGTGTTAGTCAAGTGAATATACCCCTGCCCATAGGTTTCAGCCCCTTTACACAACTTGATGTAAAATAGGCGAACAAAATTAGTTAACTTAATGGGTACACATAATTTTGGAGCGCCAAATGAGGGGCCACAGGTGCTAAAATCGTCCGGAAAGGGGCCGTGAGCCATAGAAAGGAGGGAAATACTGCACTAAATAACCCCAAAGGGGTTCATGCTTGCATGTAAATATTAATGTGCTTGTTCCCTTGGTTACATTACTCTTAAAATTTAAATAATTTAAGCATGTCAAAAATCAATGCCTATATATTTCATAGAAAGACATTATCTCTAGACAAGGTTACATTTGATGGAAAATCCTTTAAGGCTTATCAAAAAATGTTTATTTTCTTATGCTCTGCCAAGCATGATAATACCACAATTATAACTTATATTCTCGTATCATACTTGATTCTGTGTAAACCACATTTTTCTCTTAGTACATTTATAAATTTTAAATATTTTGCCCTTTGCTGAATATAATCAATGTTTCATGAGAAATTAACCCTCTAGAGTTGAACTGACTGCTCTTCCAGGGTTAAACTGACGACCTCTCTTCCATTAATGAGTGGTTGTTTGGAGTAGTAGTTCTCAACCTTTTCATGCAACCGAAATTTTCGTAAAATGATTATATACAGATATTTGCGACCACACAACAATTAAAGTGCATCAATTAAAAAAATTAGTATGCTCTATCTCAGTGGTTCTCAACCTTTTATGGCTCGTGGCTCTCTTCCGGCGCCTTTTTGCACTCGTGGCCCCCCTGTTAGCCATTCGAAAGAACCAAACGTGTTGGATTGTATTATGTTTTTACGAACTTTCATGGAATGCAAAAGCAAACCACAGACAAGATAGTAAAAGCTTTGTAGTATACAATCAATGGAAATCTTGCGCTTGGGACTGTCTGGCGAGGTTTCTTATATTAGATACCATCTTTAATATAGCCAGACGAATGTCACTGTCAATATCGAGACGATTTCTAGATTTTAGTTCGATGGTAACAAAATCAAAAGAACCACATAAGTTGCGGTAAATTGAATTATCAGCGAAGAAGCTTTCTTGCTAAGTAGTGGGTAAGAATCTGATATGCCACTTCATAGCTGCATTCAAGACAAGAGCGGGCTTTTCCTCCGACAGAAACCCGAACTTGGCCAATGTTGCTTTCTTGTCAATCTAACTCGCTTGGCAGCCAAGAAACCGATGTAAATGTTTTTCACCGAGGGATGATTTTTGTCATGGTAGTTTTGGAGTTTAGATGGACGTAATAATTCATTGCTCATTACATACGCGCAATGCAGGCATTGAGCACATTCTCTGTCGTTCCATTTTCTTATTTTGGGCATTAGGATTTTACAAATGGGTTTTTGTGTCTATAATATGATAGCGAAGGTGATCTCGCAGTCTAGTGAAGTGAAATTACCCGACTACAGGACAGCCTACCGGCGAACTATTTTGATTGGTAGATTCCAAATTCCATTATGATCAAACAATTCACGCACAAGAAAGTGAATGAACGGTGAATTTTTATTTAAAAGGAAAGTATGCAAATGAAGTTGCTTTATGATCGTTTTTTAGCCTTGTGTCGTGGCCCCCCTTGAGCTGAATCGTGGCCCCTTTGGGGTGCTGATGGCCCCCCATTTCACTGTAATTCAGTACTGTTGAAAGGTGTCAGTCGTTGAATGTTTTAAGTATAATTTCATCTTAACTTAACTGTTAATTTTGCTTTACTTTTGCTTTACTTTAAACATTTCATGACTGACGCTTTTTAACAGTTACTTTTTCAACGTTGCCATGACGAAAAATTTCACCTTAATTTTGCGTAACTTTTTTAACATCCTGAATATCGTCTGCAAGTTATTGAAAACTTGGTATTTCGTAAGAAGCAATACAAAAAACATAGACAGTAATCCCCAGCAGCAGTTGGTCTTTTGGCTCTCCATTGCAATCTCTAGAAATCAATCACTTCTAGGAAGGAATGTTAGTAGAATTAACTCCCCGAAAGAACAAAATTCCTTTTTAGGAGAGAACTAATGGAGGATCTTTCAACCCTCCTTTCATTTTTTTTCTCTCATAATCTATTCCGAATACCAATAAAAGAGAACCGAGGACCACTTCTCGGAGCCTTCTAAAACTTTTTCTCTCCTATTTTCAGTTACATCAATCATCTCAAACGATACCCGCATTCATTGATTGTAAGATATCTTGGATTGTATAAAATCACCATCAATAAGCATGATCCGGTAAGTAGTCATTTTTTCCTGCATGGATGGGGTTAGGGCTAGTATTGTCAACTGTGGCCTGCGAGCTGAATGCTTCCCGCCAAAGTTTTTGGGCACCTCACCGTCACTTGGAGAAAGTTGTGAAAATTTCTACATACAAAGTTTAAATTCATTTTCAAACTTAGTATGTAGAAATATCTAAACTACGAATTGCCATAATATTATTAATGTTTTTATTTTCGTTTCAATAATTTCAGACAGCATTAAATTTGACACCATCATAGCGGATAGAAATAGTATCTAATTCTTTCCTTTTATCTAATCTAATACGAGCATTTTGTTTGGACAGATCAGAAAGTAGGCGTTGGAACAATAACATGGCGGCCAAAATCCTTATTAATTTTTGTACATTTTCAGGTCTATTTCATTGTTATGCAAAGCATCTTATATCCAGATGAAAGAATTAACCAAAGATATGATTTGAAAGGCTGTCAGGTAGGCTGGTGTATGTGTTTCGGTTTGCATGAATATTGATATTTATGATGACAAGGGAAGTCGATAAGTTGATTCTTGTCCTTGGCTCTGCGGTGTGGCACATCATGCTAAGCATTCCGAATATCGCTCTGATTTTCCTAAGGGGGTTCACAGGTCAGAGTCCCATGTAAGATAAGTTATATGCGAGAGGATGTGGACTCTTACCCATCCGTGGTTCCCCAAATGAAAAAGCAGTGTTATCGGCTTTCCTTTTGACGCTCCCGTAGTATGTGCTCCAAGATGGAGGACTACGTTCGATGGAGCACACCTGAACGAAGTTAGTGTACCAGATTAGGGTTCTGAACGTAGTTAGTGTACCAGATTAGGGTTAGGACATAATTTTGTGCCGATTTTCCTTATTTTAGTTTTATTACGAGTTCGGTGACTAGCCTAGTAACTCCCATAGTATTTTTACCTGAAATTATGACCTAACCCTAACCGTGTACACATACTACGTTCCGCAGTTCGCCATTTTGTTGCACATACTACGGGAGTACCTTCCTTTTCCCCGGGATAAATATGTAAATCCTATTCTGTCCTTTTTCCAGCCTTTTTGTAGGAAGGTGAATTGTTGAGAGAAGCTTTAACTAATCAAGGCATGGGCCCAAGAGATAAAAGAAAGACTTTAACAATTTTTGTTGTCGAAGGGTTTCGACTGACATCCCATGAGCGCTAGGAATACGCTCGCCACTGAACTTCTGTTTACCCTGCGTGACTTCGCAGGTTTGAATTCTGTGGGGAATAATTCCTTGCAAGAGCATTGCTGAACTCCTCGTTTTCATAGGGTGGTTCACAATACCGCTTGTCAGTTATGTCTTCCTCTACCATCAAGTCCATGCATCTGAAAACAAATAACTGTCTAACTAATCTCATACCCGACATGGACTGGTAACCAGACAAAAGGCCGTGGTTCGCCATGTGGAGAAACTGTCTCTTTGAATTTTCTCTCCCTTGGGATAAATATGTAAATCCTATCCTTCTTATCCACCATACCCGATATTTATACTGCAACACTAGAGAGGGAATACGAACTCAATATATCTGGCTTATGATACAAATAAATCTCACTATTTTTATTCTATCTCAACCAGGCTGGGAGATTTACCAAGGAACAAAACAATGATCAGAATGAAATCATCACTGTCTTGAAAGACATGAACTTTGAAGAAACAAAGATATTTCTAGGTGAGAACTTAAGAGATTCTGATTTCCGATTTCATTTTGATTTTGTATTTTATTTTGTAAGTGGTATTAACGAGAAAAAGTGGGTGTGAACCAGTGATGTTTAAACGAGAATATCGGTCAGAGACCGAAGACTAATTAATCGAAAGTTAGGGGATCCCCCAAAACAGCACTCTTACTCCATAGTGACACCTTGTGTCCCATCACTAATCAATTAATAACTCGCTAATTATACGACATAATTCATCCAAAATCAATAGACTTCTGGTCCGACATATGAATGCACATGCGAAATCTGGAGCAGATTCAATCTCGCTTTCGTGAGATATCGCGTGCATCTTACAGACCGATCTTAAGATCAATAAGTAATTACTATGTCAAGCAACCAGTGCTCCACAACCATCTGTGACTTCCAACTCAACACCTAGTTAAATCTGAGTATGATTCTGCCTAAAACGTACATGACACGGTTCTAATCATATAAAATTAAGGGCGCCCCAGGATGTGAACAAGATGGCGCACAACCTGAACCCTAACCTGGTACACATGCTATGTACAGGTTGTTGGCCCTCTTGGTGCACATACTTCGGGAGCACCAAATTAAGTGCTCATATTAGTGCTTAAGTGACCAACAGAGAAGCAATTTTTATGTCTGGATGACTATATGGAAAAACCCTCTTTTTGGTGCTAAAAATGGGCTTCAGAAAATACAGTATTTCATTCGTAGAAAACGATGATAATAATATGACGATAATAATAATATTACGGATCACTGCTTCTCGTCCAGTTATTAGTTTAGATGGTCACGAATAGTTAACCAGTGTAATGCTGGTCTAAGCATTTATGGCAGTATTTTCTTATTTATCCCATGTACTAGAAAGCTAACATGGCAGCCAAATCATAAGGCGAACCAAAGCCACCCTCAGCCAGTTTGTTTTTTGTTTGTGTTTTTTTTCATTTACATATATAGTTCAACTTCTCGTTTTTTATCATGTTCTGTTAGACCTTTTTTAATGAGCATCACTGCTCGATAATCAATATTGGATTCCGCGGTCACCTCCCCCTGAAAGCCGCTTTTTTATATCCCATTACTTATTGTAATTTGTATGTCAAGAGTGCATTTCTGCATGGTGGAAAAAAACTACTGACTGACAGACTAACAATTCTAGCATATAGCCCAGTGGTTCTTAAACTTTTTCGAGCGCGACCCAAATCTGAGTTTTATGAATACTCGCGACCCAATCCTAAAAAACGCAAAATGTGTTTTTAATGTTAGTACAGTTTGACTCAAATACAGACAACTATTTATTAGAAACAGTCCATTGACTCAGTGAGATTGATGAAACTGAAATTTCCTTTTTCATTATATCTTCAATACACAGCTCTCTATTTTACTTAACGCAATACGCAAGTTGTCACGGGTATCGAAGCGATTGCGAGCTTAGTTTTGATAACCGTCAGTGCCAAATATCCTCGCTCGCACAAGTGCCTTGTCGCGAATTGTAGCAGAAAAGGCGTCCGCTGTCCGTCGCAAACACGACATCCTAGCTGGCCTTCGGTATCTCTCGCAATATAGGCCTACAACTTTTTACTCGTCACATGTGCACGCACTGCTTCGTTCGCGGTAAATGGTGCCTCGAGATGAAGTCACATTTTCTCTAGATATTGAATAATCTAATGTCGAGAAGCGAGCTTTTTCATTGCGTCGTCTATTACAATTTACATTATCAAAAAGACACCCATTTTTGGTTATTTTAATCCACTAAGACGACATTCCATGCGGTCAACACAACGACAAGCGACGTGCATGGTTACCGATACCATAAAAATAATACACGTGACTGGCATATCAGAATTGTGATGTAACAATGAGCTCAAGACAGTTCTCTCCGTGAATGAAATTTTTTATTTCATTATTTTTAAATACCAGAGTTTAGAAGCTAAATTGAAACATTGGGAAAGCTGAAAGTTCGTCCTTCTCCTCTTAGATTGCCCGTGCATTGACGACCTTGTCGCGACCCATTTTTAAACCTTCCGCGACCCATGTTTGGGTCGCGATCCATACTTTAAGAACCACTGATATAGAGCCTTGTTTTAACAGGAATTTTGCAATATAACTCTCTGTGTCTGGAAAATTTGCCGCAGGGAAATTTCGCCGTAGAAAATCTCGCCACAGGAAATATCTAGGCATAGGAAAAACCGCAAAATCATTTTGTTGCAAAACAAGTATTTTTGATAAAACAGTCAGGTTTATAGGGTTAGGGTATGCTCTTCAATAACGAATCCTTTTTAAATAAGGCGATTTTTTATACAGTGATTTTTCCTATGCGGCGAAATTTTATGTGACGAGATTTCCTACAGTGAATTTTCCTAGAATCATAACCCTATATTCACAGGTTCACAAAGCTCTTGGTTTGATCTACAAATTCAACACGATACTGAGTTTTTAAGAAGTTTGAGAGTTATTGATTACAGTCTCCTGATCGGGGTACAATCGCTACATCAAGAGGAAATCAAGGAAAACAGGGAACTTGCTTCAATCATTGTCAGAACAAAAAAGTAAGACTTATTTTGAAGTGGTATTATGATAATTCGTTCAACCGACAGCGCTTATCTGCGCCTTTCGCTTCGCACTAAGCAAGAGTATTGCTGGACTCTTTGGCATTGTAGTGTGGTTCACATGGCTGCTGGTTCCGGCTTCTTCCACCATCAAGTTTATGCATGCGTCAAGTTTTAAATATGCTGTAGAGCATATGGTTTGTGTTGCCAACTCCTGTCCTACATTATAAATATTCCTTTTCTGGTTCATGTAACCGATTGTCGGTTCACCTTCCTCCACCACCAAGTCTACGCATCTGAAAACAAATAACCAACTAATCCCATACCCGACATGGACTGGTAATCGGAGGGAAAGGCCGTGGTTCGCCATAGGGTTAAGCCGCCTTTTGACTTCCTTTTCCCCAGGATAAATATGTAAATCCTATCTTACTCTGCTTCAGATCAACATCTCGTCAACACAGCGTTCTACGTCACTGGGCCCAAAGTCCAACAAGAATGATGAAGCAGATTAGTGAGGAATCCGAAGTATCACAGTCATCGTCACCAGATGAAAACATAAACCTACCAGGTGTGTACCAGGTTGGGGCGTAATTTTATTCCGATTTTCCTTATTTCAGTTGTATTATGAGTTCGGGGAATGTCTGTGTTAGCCAAGTGAATATCCCCCTATCCATAGGCTTCATTTCCTTTACGCAACTTGAAGTAACTTGTAAAGTAGGCGAACAAAAATATTTACCTCCATATTGGTACACATACTTCTGGAGCACGCTTAATGATGCCTGTTTATTGGGAAACGAAGTCAGCAATTATTTTCATTTACCAGGTATTGTATGGGTAGGGATTCTTACTCTTTTTTTCAATTTTCACTCTTTTAGCAAAGTTGGTGACTAGATTTAACTCCAAGTGTACTAAGGATTTACATATTTATCTGGTGGGCAAAGTAAAGCCTCTAAGACGAGAGACAGTGGCTCGCCATATGGTTAAGCCGTTTTAGTGGGGTCATGTAACGTTGTCTCTTTCACTTCTGAGTGAGAGCGCAAAATGCACAACCAATCAATCAATCATTTATTCGTTGTCACAAAACACATCAAATGCACAAAAAATAAATATAATATTAATGATAGTTGTGCGGCAGGAATTGCGAGGGCCCTTGTTAGGTCTTCAAGCAGCGACACCCACCATAAAACTGAGTTTCAGTATGTCTTGGCGTTCCGGTATCACCCTTTTGAGGGGGACCTGAGGCACAATTTTCAACATTTTTCAGATATCAGTGGCTGCTTTCATCTAGCCTTGTTTGGAGCAAAAGGCACGTATTACGTCATTGTGCAAAATAAATTTCAACCACTCAAAATTTTGGGCTGGCTACGCTCTCGCTGAATATTATTTAATTTTGCAGGCACGGTACAGGAAGAAAACGAATCTGACACAGTGAAAAGTAATTCAACTAAAAGTACTTCATCGATTGTCAGTCCTAAAAAAAGGTGAGCTAACTTTTATGCCTTGTTTCTTTTCTTAATATTGTGAAAACCTTGAGGGAATAATTTTCATGTTTATTTTCGGGTTAACCAGTGAACATTGGCGAGACCCTCAACAACACTCTGGCTAAGTTCCTGCCCTCCCATATCAGTGGCTGTTGACAGAGTCGTGTTTGCAGTATCCAAGCCATCTTGTCACTTTCCTCTTTCACAACTTCGGTGCAATTCGCTTCCACGGGATAGTATACAGTTAACAATCTTTGAAGTCATTCAAAAAACAATTTCCTGACTTATAATTTTTTTTTTAGCACTGCCGATAGTCGAGATTCCGTAAATGAATCAGAATCAATCATGCAGAACCGTCGTTTACTGCCGCAATGTCGTAACGAGCTTCACATAATCGATGGGTCAAATCAAGAACGCTATTTCATCGGTATTATCGACTTTTTTACGCCTTTTGGACTCAAAAAACGTTGCGAAGGAATCTTTAAAGCGATGAAGTATAAAAAGTCTGGTTACTCTTATTCTACAGTCAATCCTGACGCTTATGCCGATAGATTTCAAGAGTTTTTGAAGAAACACGTCGTTTAGGTCCCATAGAAATTGTGGGAGTCGCTTTCGTATGTAGTCATTACAAATGTCGATCGTACACGGATCTCAACTTATCATGTTGTTTTTGTCGACTAAAATTCGTAATCGAGCCCGCAAAATTGGTAGAATCTAGACCAGTGGTTCTTAAACGATGGGGGCGCCCCACAAAGAGGTCGTAGAAAAATTACGTTCATTTTCAACATGTTTTTTGAATAAAACATACTTTCGCCTTACTATCTGTTATTTGTAGCTTATTGTTAGCTAGTTATTTTTGAAGTGAGACGCGACACTTAGCGAATTTGAAAAAGAGGGCGTAGCTTAATAAGTTTGAGAACCACTGTTTTAGACCTTTATAATAAAAGCCAATGTTTGTCTCAAATTTTTCATTTCTCCTCCCAAACAAAATGCGTAGTAAAAATAACCTAACAGGGATAGGCAAAGTCTAGTAATCTATTATTTTCAATATATAATTTGACTCCAACTCTCTGCATTTTAAAATATAATTCCAACGACACAACATTTTACAGAGTCGCAATTCTTACCACTTCATGGCAGCTCCTGCCACGAACGAACAAATGGCGTCTTTTGCCATGGGTTGTGGCGTTAGCACCGGATATTCACAAAGTCATGTATAATATTTTAGTTTATTATGTGGAATTATATCTACCGGTACTTAAACCTGAAACCCCAAATCAATCAAAACTGTATTCATAAGGAAAATGTTCTAACTTACCTAAATTGTGTCACCATCAGGGGCAGTGCTGCCATTTCAGCCTAAATGACGTCGTTATGACAGCAAACTTTTACCCACCATTGGTTTTTAATTTGCTGGCGTGGTAATGGCATCTCACTATTGGTTTGTGGCAGCTAAATAGTCTGTCACCATGATTTTGGCCATAGCGGTCATGGTTTGGAAATATCGCCATGGTTTTGCGGCAACTTCGGATGCCACAAAATACCTGAAACTGCACCTGATTTTATATGTCAAACATGTATTTATTATTACTTTCTTATTTTACCGGTTTTAATTATTATTTTTGTAAATTCCAATGATTTCTTGCTTCTAATTAAGTATCATCATTTATACCTTGTTTATTTTATTAAATAATTATTATTTTTCCACATTCCAATGATCTTCATTATCAAAAAGCAATTGCATCCACATACTGCACATCTTAAGCCCCCGACACAAAAACATTTTTGTACTTATCATGTATTTATTAAACCATGTTTATTTTTTACCTAAACTATTATTTATTGTTTTTAGCTGTGATATAGTTATTCTAATTATGTTATACACAAAGATCCGTGTTTCATTGACATTAGCGTTTATTGTGAGACTATTTTATTGCGCCCGGCAGAGTAGTCATGTAGTTCTGTTCTATACCAGAAGGTGGCAGCAGCAGGTGACGATTTGCCTTTGTTTTTATTTGATTACTAATCAAGATGTCCAATTCAACATTTTTCTTCAATGGTAAAAAAGCCTATATTAACAATATAACACTTATATTGTGAATATCATGTATTTTTCCAACATTTTCAGCTGGTGGTGTGCCGCGGGATTTTTTCAATGAAAAATGTGTAAAAACACTGTTTCCGACGCATGAACTTGATTGAGCTTGACTGTCGAAAAAAATTGGAAAGAATGTTAGCGGCTGCGAATGCAATCACTTCCTCGTGTAGATTCATTTTGTGAAAGACATGTCTAAGATTAAGTCTCCTTGGAACGAAAGTGAAAATATCCATCTTTGGGCAAAGGCACAAAAACTCACACAAATTTTTTTATAAGAGCAACTATCATTGAAGTATTATACTTCTTCTGTTGGTCATCTCCTGCCTAGCTTAACTGTTCTTGTGCACTGATGCGTTTTCTGTTTAATTTAAATGCACTTTATATTGTTAAACCATTAGACATAATATTGCACTATTTAATTATATTTTGTCTTTTCGTTTGTATTGCTTTTAAATCTAATACACAAACGCATATATATCATTTCTATTTGCGATGCTTATTCATGCTTTTCGCCCCGAACAGAACACTAGATAAGCAGTCACTGATGCCTCTCGATATAAAATAAGATAGGATTTACATATTTATCCCGGCGGAGAGGAAAGCCGATAAGACGGCTTAACCATGTGGCGAACCACGGTCTTTTGTCCGGTTACCATTCCAAGTCGGGTATGGGTTTAGTTAGGTATTTGTTTTCGGAAGCATGGACTTGATGGTACGTGAACCACCCTACGGTGACGAGGAGTCCAGCAATCCTCTCGCACATAACCATCCCTGCATGGGATTCGAACCCACGAAGGGTAATCAGAGATGCGGTGGCGAGCGTATTCCTAACGCTTAGAACGATGCCCAACACCGCCGAGCCTATTCATATGGCGAACCCCGGCCTCTCGTCCGGTTACCATTCCATGTCGGGTATGGAATTAGTCAGTTATTTGTTTTCGGAAGCACGGACTTGGTGGTGTAGGAAGCGCAAACGACTATACGTGACCACCCTAAGGTGGCGAGGATTCCAGAAATGCACATAATTGTCCCCACACGGGGTTCGAAACTTCTAAATGTTGTCAAGTTAGATCGTAACAGCAAGCGGGAACGGACGACATGTGTTTTCAAGAATCTTGATGATGTAAACCAGGGTGATCCAAACCCAGGCCCGCGGGCCACATGTGGCCCGCCGCCTCATTATATGTGGCCATAGGCGTAGCCAAAAATTTTCAAAGGAGGGGGTTCTGAAATTTTTTTGCCAAGTTAGATCGGAGCTGCTAGCGGGTTCGATCGAACTCTGGAATACGCGTGTTCATATTAGTCTTGATGGTCTAAAAAGCATTTCAAGCTACGGAAAATTGCTATCTATGATACAGAAAATTGATTTTATTTTTTTTACATTTCAAATGGGGGGTTCGACCCGCAAAACCACCCCCCCTGGCTACGCCACTGTCTGTGGCCCACGTCACATTCGAAGAGGAATCAAAAAGTCGCAGTACGTGTTGTTTCGTCATAAAATTAATCAGAAAAATCTTTTGACATATTGTCGTCACTAATGTCACTGAATTAAATAGTGTTATGGCTAGCTGAGGCAACTAGAGAAGTTAAATAATGTGCTTGTTAGACTAAATTGTTATCTGGTTTTCTATCTTTTTGGTCGGGAATATATGCTCACAATATAGGCATCGAAGAAAACAAAAAACCGAATGCGGATTCTAGCCTAAAATGGCTATGCCTGATAACTATGTGTAATAAAAGTCTTTGTTTTGTATTGCACTGTTTACCTATTCTTGGACTATTGTGGCCCGCGGAGCTGAACACCTTGGACCACCCTGATCTAAACGTTTCAGGCCAAGAAAATTGCTATGTGCGATACTGAGGATGCCTTTTTTACATTTCAAAATGACCATCGTGTTATAACTAGTTCGACAAAGTATTTAATTTATAGATTATACCTATTATTTAAAATAAAATGAAGGAATATACGAGAATATCAGTCAGAGACCGAAGACTTAACTATCGAAAGTTAGGGGAACCCCAAAACAGCGCTCTTGCTCCATAGTGACACCTTGTGTCCCATCACTAATTAATTAATAACTCGCTAATTATACGACATAATTCGCCTAAAATCAATAGGCTTCTGGTCCGAGATAAGATGAATGAACATGCAAAATCTGGAGCAGATTCAATCTCGCTTTCATGAGATATCGCGTGCATCCAACAGACAAACATACAGACAGACAAATACCTATCAACATACTTACTTACCGATTAAAATCGATAAGTAACAAGTGGAGAATAATGTTGGCGAATTCTAGCATTATAGTCAATTAGCCAAGAGTGTCTTATTATATGGGTTGGTGTTTTTTACAAGAAATCTTGATAGGATTTACTTATTTATCGCAGAAAAAAGGAATTCCATACTACGACTTAATATTACGGTCCCTCGCAAGGTTACTAGTTCATTATGCCGTGTACGAGAAAAATCCGATTGTACCGGGACCAGTCTGAGAGTAAGATTCTGTACTACTTTTTGGATATTTTGTACAAAGCTTTCGCCAGCTAAAAGCACCCTCCTTAACGCTTAAGAATAGTAATTATCCAGTTAGGGCTAGGAATACAGATTGCGATGAAAATACAAATTTTCAAATCTGCCTAACTCCAACTTGATGATTAATAATTTGTTATTTAAAAACGCGACGAGGGTGTTTTTCTCAGATCTCACACTTTTTCATTCGGACGATAGATAGAGATTTATTTTTTCGTCAACCAAATAAAACGAGAATATCGGTCGGAGACCGAAGACTTATCTATCGGAACTGCGGTTTCGATTCATGACTCTATAGCGACACCGTGTGTCCCATCACTAATTAATCAATAACTCGCTAATTATGACATAATTCATCCCAAAATCAATAGGCTAATGGTCCGAGGTATGATGAATGCACATGCAAAATTTGGAGCAGATTCAACCTCGCCTTCGTGAGATATCGCGTTCATCTAACAGACATACAGACAAATACCTATCAACATACTTACCGATCACAAGATCGATAAGTAATGACAGTCATCGTATTAATGAAAATAATAACAAGTAATAAAAAATTAGTTTGGTGCAGACAGGAGAGAGTGATACGACCAGGCGGTCATCGAAGTCAACATCCCCAAATGACGTAGGCCTTTTACAAAAGGTCCAAAATGTTATACCATAATTGGACGAGAGTGGAAGTAATACAACATAAAAGTTTAGAAACCGCAGAGAGCTGTCGCCACTTTTGTGAACCTCAACTCAATGCTTCTCGATTGACCGGTAGAGCAAACGTTTACGAAAACATGAGGCCACAATCAGGGACGACCCCTCTCGAAATGTAAAAATAAAAATATTTTTCTGTACCATGCATAGCGTAGCGCTTCATACACATTCAAGTCCCTTGAAAACTCACGTTACGACCTACGGAGATCACGGCGTTGCACAAATCCCCGCCATTTATACAAATAGGGATTTGTTTAAAAAGAATTGTTTCAAAACAATTGTTTTGAATCAAATTTTTTTTGCCTGTTTTGTTTAAAATGGCTGTACTATTTGATTTTTTTTTGTATCAAATAGGTTGAAGAAAAATGGATGTAAAACTTGCCAAGCGCTTCTTATTTGCAATAAATCCTTCAAAGCGCCATAAATATCGATAGAGGCTCATGTACACCTTCTCAACTGTAGTTCAGTGGTTTGCGCAGTAAGACGCAACTGATAAGCCATTAACTACCCTGCTACGACGAAACCACTTTGCAAAATTGAAATGCGATCGAATAAATGAATTTGTATAACCTTGAAAAACTCCATCACTTCAACCTTAAAAACAAAGTATGCTAGGCATAAATCACCCGAACAGTATTGACCGTAATATTGCCTTCATTTTATGAGAAAAATGCCAACACATGAACTCGAAATCCATATTATGCGTCATCATAACAGATTAGTTGTGGCCTATTTACATCGGAGGTCTTACAATTAGCATATCTCATCATTTATATCAGTAGATTGCCACCGATGTAAGCATATTCTTCATTATCGCAACCCACTCGTTTCGCCGAAGACTGCCCTTAATTTAATTGCTTTTGTAGTAGGCTCGTGAGCTAAGTTTCTTAATTTTTATCATAAATATTTTGATTTTACTTAAAACGTCTCTCTGGTATCTCGGATAAACATTTCGGTTAAAATCTTATGACTTTGGTGGAGATACAAACGTGGCGATAAATGTACGCAATAGAAGTAAAAGTCAAAACGGGAATTTTCACTTACATTTTTGAAATTATAATTCTGGCTCGTTTGCAGCTGCCAGAATGCAACGTTTCGGCGTATTTTCGCGGCGATGCAGGGGGTATTTAAATAAAAAAATACAGAAAAAAAATTGATTTAAAACAAGCCCTTGTTTTAAAACACCATGTTTTTTTTTAGAATTGATAAAAAACAAAACCCTAAATACAAAAATGTAAGGTTTGATTAAAACATATCGCCACGTTCTAAAATTACAAGATAGTAATTATCCGGTTGGAGTTAGGGTACAATTTAAAAACTGCAATTTCTAATGCAATCTGCATTACTAACACTAGCTGAATAATTACTAATTTTCTTATTTTGAGCATTGGCGGAGTGTTTTTTTGGCAGGGGCTTTGTACATAAGATCCCAATTAAGTTATAGCAATCCAGATTTTCCATTTACAATTTACGTTTACCTTTTACTTTTCAAAATATAATATCTATCTAATTAGGTTTAGTTATTCACGTTACAGTGTGCTAAACTTTTGGGCTCCTTTGTTTACGTCTCGTCATTATTACATTATTGTTTTTTTGTGTAGTAATTACTAACTCATCAAGCGGCATTTGACTTCATTTGTTTCTAGAGCAATGGTCGGCAGCAGCAGGCCCGCACACCATAACCCGGCCGCCAAGCCATTTAATGTGGCCCTTGTCAACACTCAGATTTTTCTCCATCAAGCATAAACTTTTAATCCGACAGTTGGTATTCGAAACGGCGATTACGTAGGTGAAAATACATGATGTTTTATTGCTTTTGTCAAATCTTCCGCCGTTTGGCGTTAGGCAGTTCCGGATAGTGGCTAGCGCCGATCAAAGTGTATTTGTCTGAGTTTTGCGATAAGTGGTGGCGATGATTAAAGCCTTTCAACTCTGACGGTAGACGACGCAAATTCTATCGTGATTTTGCACGCAATTATTACGTTGTTACTGAATATAATTAATACGGTGAAACTTTGCACGAAGCTCTAAAAATGGATGTAGTGCCACATAAAATACTACCATAGCGCGTTTCTTCTGTCATTGTTCCCCGCCACAAAAGCGTTTTGTCGGTGGAACGCGGCCACAGTAGAAACACAAAAGTGTTATGCGGTCAGTAAAAGGTTGAGAACCCCTGGGCTAAGCGATAGCATTTTCATTGTGAAATTTTTTAATGCGTTATGTATATGGAAAAACT